GTCCCAACGGAGATGGCCACTACATCAACAAATTGCACGATTGGGTTATGAAGGCCAAGCGGCCAGGTAAAGAGCCGCCTTACTGGAATGAAGAGCTCATGTGGCAGCGCAGCATGTTCCTCAAAGCCAAGGCCAGATTCGAGCAACTAGGCTGCAAGGCTCAGACCTTTGAGGAGATTGGATTTCAATATGAGCCTGGAGCTCAACCTGATGTGGAGAAGGAGGGAGAAGAGCTCTGATTAAGACTGAAGGACGAGGTATTGCGGAAATTCGCAATACACTTTCGTCATTTGTCTAGGACTTTGCGATTCAACATCGTCTTGACCCCAGACGATGTGATAGGATGCTTAGGACAGGGGCTTCAGGTTGTAGAGCAAACCGTTGGTGGTGGTTCCCACTCACTCCATATCCGATTCGGCCAACTATGGGGTCTTTGGGGATGGTGCGAGTGCAATGATGTTGTGATGGTGGGTTAGAATGGCGGGAGTCGGGGTTGGATTTGTAATGCAGTTGGAAGGACAATGGATCCAACGCTTTGGGGCAATTCGGCCATCGGGAATGCGATTGAACAGGTCCGGTCCAACCCAGTCAGGGCAATAGTTGGACTGCCTTATCATTAGAACATCCGGTTAGAGATACGCGAAGAAACGTCAAGGGTACTTGAAGAGGGGAAAAGAACGTTCATTTTATCTGCTTGTGTTCTTTCATTCTTCCATATTGATTGCCTTTACATCTTCTAAGGTCTTGCCTGAAAACTTACCAATTTCTGAAAAAGCCAGCTGGTCTTGATCTTGGCAATGGCACCATCCGCAATTGATACTACAGCCCTGGCTTCGCCAGCTGCGACGGCTCTCCAAGCTCTACCTCCACCCAAAGACCTGTCGCACCTGTTCTCGAGAGTGGCTAGAAATCGCAAGCCAAGCAATATCAAGGCCTTTTACAAATTCATGCAGATTCCGGGCATTAGCAATTTTGCTGGAGGTGAGTAGGATTCGGTCGGTGATCGACGATCCCGGCACCGAGGCACCGAAACTTTGAGTTAGCCTCCGTCTTACACGTCCGTACTAACACGGTCGTTAGGAATGCCCAATGTCAAATATTTCCCCTTCGATACCTTGGAAGCCCAGATATCTAACGCGGACCGTTGGGATCCCTCACCGAATTACCCTGACAAGGTTGCGTTATCAACTGAGTCTCTTTCAGGCAGTGTTCTCGGACACAGCAAAAGTCCAGACAAAAACGCCCCCAGAAATCCAGATTACAACAAAACATCGTCTAGGATCTCTATACCCAAGATTCTCAACGAGCCAGACATCACTAAGAAGGTTGACCTTGCCACTGCCCTTCAGTATGGACAGGTGACTGGCTACCCGCCGCTGCATTCTTTCATTAGGCAGTTCACGAACCAAGTACTTCACCCAAGCGTTCCATACCAAGGTGGCGCGGATGTCATTCTCAACAATGGCGGCACGGATGGGTTCTCAAAGGTCCTTCAGCTCCTGGTTGACCCCTGGTATGAGGGGTTGCATCCCGTGAAAGAGCGGCCGGGCATGCTCTGTGAGACCTTTGTGTTTGGTAACGTCCTTACTCAAGCTCGGCCTCTTGGAGTCAATGTTGTTCCAGTTGAGATCGACGAAGAAGGTATGATAGTCGAAGGATCTGGTGGTCTGCGAGAGGTGCTCGAGAACTGGAATTCTCAAAACGGACGACTGCCACATTTCTTATATACGGTAACGTGAGTAATTTTGCTCAACTAAGAACACGCGCTCGTATACTGACCGCTGAATACAGGATGGGCGACAACCCTACAAGTGGTGTTGTAGGCGTTCAGAGACGAAAGGAGATCTACGCGCTGGCAAGCAAGTACGACATCATCATTGTTGAAGATGACCCGTATTGGTATCTGCAGTTCCCTTCCGCTGCGATACACGAAGCCAAAGCTAGGGGCTACACTATCCCCTCAGTAGCCGATTCACACAAGATAGTCAAGTCATCTGGCTACGACTTCATAGATTCCCTTGTTCCATCATATCTTAGCATTGATGTTGACGGCCGTGTCATTCGTCTCGATACCTTTTCCAAGACAGTTGCTCCTGGTTCCCGATTGGGTTACGCCACTGCGCAACCCGCAATCATCGAACGTCTTATTAGGTATGTTATCCCGTATCTCAGTAATCGATATCGTAAAGGCTGACTCTTAATGAATAGGATCGCAGAGACCAGCACTGGCCAGCCCTCAGGTTTCGTCCAAGCACTCATTGCTCAAGCCATTCTAGGCCCCCACTCATCAGCTCTTGAGACATTCTCCTCTCTCCCAGAATCAGAGAAACCCTCGTTTACTGGCTGGCAGCTTGATGGTTGGGTGCGATGGCTTGAGGGACTTCGTGGCGAGTATGAGCGTCGCATGACCCGAATGTGCTCTATCCTTGAGAAGAACTCATTTTCTCCGAGGCAGTCAGCGTCCCAAAACCCAGACTTGGACGGCGGCGTCGTCAACAAGATACGCCTGTTCGATTTTGACTGGCCCCGTGGAGGGATGTTTGTCTGGGTGCGTGTCCACTTCGAGAAGCACCCTCTCTACCAGTCCAGAGGGGGTGATATTGCCCCTGTCATTGATGGCACCGCATTGGCAAATGCATTTCTGATCCATAGTACACATGCACCTCATCTGGTGCTGGGCAGCCCTGGTAGCATGTTCAGTGCCACACCGGAGATTCGGGAAAAGCGTGGCTGGCAGTATATACGACTGTGCTTTGCAGCGGAGAGTGACCATAATATTGACGACGGCTCAAGCAGATTTGCACGATCTGTGGGTGAATTCTTCAAGATTAACGATACGGCACAGATTGAGAAGCTACTCGAAGAGTTGCCCAGCTAGAGTAGATATAAGAACAGAGTTACTGGATGATGAGCATTGGACAAGAAAAGTAGCCCAGGGTACCAACATGGAACATGTCACTGTACAGGTCAACGTCGATACTACATGTGTGTGTATGTTATCAATCATGAAACAAAAACAACTGCTATTACGACAATCACCGCAAGCAAACGTAGTAGGGGAAATTCACAGTTACGGCGAACAAGCATCAAGTTGTGGAACCAATGCCGAGTCAGGCTGTAATTCGTATCATATCTCTGATTCATTTTTAAGAGAGCTCAACCTTCAAAGAAGCCATTACGCCTCAATATCAAACCATGCAAGACCCATCGTCTAGTTCCGTCTTAACCCGCTGCACACCCAGCAAGTCGAGAATTATTTTAGTTCTGCTTCTTCTGAGCCTCCTGGGCAAACACGGAGGCATAAGGGTTCAGGCGAAGCATGACCTGCTTGTTCTTAAGAGGGTTCTTCTTCTGGACAGCAGATCGGCGGGTGACAGCCTCGCCCTTGGGAGCGTTGAGAGAGCTCTGGATTTCAGAGCTGTTGATCAGACGAGTAAGATCGGCCTGAGAGACAACGTTGGAGGGAAGGAGGAAGTCACGCTTGTGGGCAGAGGCCTCGGTGGTGGAACCGTAGATCTCGTCAAGGGCCTTGAAGGCAGCAGATGTCCAGACAATGAAGCGGCCGAGGTGACCACCAGGGGCGAGCTGGAGAAGGTTGAGAGCGGTGACGGGAGAGGTCTCGACACCAGTGATGTTGCGGAAAGCAGTGACAAGCTCCTTGCCATCGGTCTCGGGGTCGTAGATGACAAGAGGGCCACGTCGCTGGCGGTGGCGTCGGCCACGGAGCTTGCCCTTACCAGCACGGAGCTTCTTGGAGTTCTTGACCTTCTCGATATCGGGACCAGCGCCAACAGCCTTCAGAAGACCGAAAGCAGCAGCGGTCTTGGCAATGGCAGCACCCTCGAAGACGGCGGAGTCGACAACCAGAGGAACCTCAGGGACGGAGTTGACCTGGTGGCCACGGGCCTGGAGCAGGGGAACGGCAGCGGAGGCAGCGAGAGCAGAGACGACAGCATATCGCCTGGTGTTGCACGTTAGCCTTGGAATTAGGAGCCTCGTCGTCGAAAATAGACTTACTTCTGGCCCTGGTTGACCTTGATGTGCCACTTGCGCCAGATCTTGGTAGGGGCGAACATGCGACCGGAACGACACATGTTACCGAAGGCAGCCTGACCAGCGCGGTGAGTACCACCACCAGAGACACGGGGAATACGAGCGACAGCACGACCTGTTTGCAATGTGGTTAGCCTGTTGTTCTGCTCATCGCTGTGCAATCCCATAGCATTTGTCGTCTCTCCCTCGTCCACTTCCGTGATTTTCTCCCCGCCCACAGAAAATTTCCCCTCTTAAACCATAAATCTGGGTGGGAAAGACATCGTGTACTAACCAGTTCCCCAAGACTCGGCAGAGGTCTGGTGACCAGCCTTCTCGCTCACAGCATAAGGCTGTCGCTTGTTCTTAGCGATACCGGTGTGAACCTGCTGGACAATGTCCGGTCGGATCGGGCTGGTGAAGACGGCGGGAATGGCGTGGGTAGCTCCAGTGGGAGCACCATCTTTGCCGATGATAGAGACGGTAGGTCGCGAAGCCATTGCGAAGGTTGAGACTTGGACCTGTTGATGATGCTTGAGTTAGTATGAAAAAGGTCCAGATCGATTGCGACGGCTGGCGTTGAGTTCTTACCTCGGGTCGTGCGGCGTCGAAATTGGTGATGGAGTGGGAGGTTGCGAGGCTCACGAAATTTCAGTTAGGATATTTTTGCGGTTTGGTGGGAAGGGGAGACCCTAAGTCTGCCCCACCTCAAGTAGCGAGTTTCTATCCCACTAAATGACAGTGCGAGTAGTACCACTCGCACTCCTCTGGGGTGATCATCGTGGCTTACATTGACAGCACTAAGGTAGTTATCACTTGGTTGGTTTGTTCATATAATGTTCGTGTTTTCTCATAAAGGCCCACCCGAGTCGCTCCGTCTTAGCATAAGTACGTGTCATCATTATGTCCTTCTAAATACCCCAAGATGCAGATATACCACCTTACCGTGTCCCTTGCGTCATAACCCATCATTCCCACCTCTTCCATTCTTGAATATACTTATCTACCTGTTCCTCAACCCAATCCTCGTCTTCATGTTTGGATCTGTCCAGCTTGGCCAGTTTTTCGTGAATCATGGCTTCGACATCCATCCTCTCAAGTACCTTGGCTTCTAGGTATTTGGGGTCATTCCACCGGCACGCCTTTTTAAAAATCTCTCTCATTCGATTAGAGTAGAGCTGGCAGGTTGCGAGTGGCAGCTTTTGTGGCTTCATATAAAAGTTGCGAGCGATGACATTGTCGTCTTTTATTAATGGCCTGACGACCTCATCGAAGCATTCGCCACAGACAGAGAACTGTCGAAGGTATTGCATGATATGCCAGTATCCGTTGGTGATTGGCTTGTCCTCTTGACACTCGCTCACTGCGGCCATCTTCTCAACTTCTTGTGCAAGTGTGCCAAGGTCTGGCTCTTCGTGTTCCAGTCGAGCTTGGTCTGAAGTCGTTTCCATAGCGTCAAAGTACATGACGAAACGTTTTCTTTTTGGCTTAAAACGCATCGCGCAAAGCCCCCTAGTAGGTTCTGAGCGGGAGTCCAGAGGAATGAAAATGCCAGTCAGATTGGGGAACAGTGCCTGGATAATTTGAGCGCATTGGGGACATATGGTAAAATCATATACAGGCTGTCGAGTATATGGATTCCAGAGCGTTAGCCAATTACGGGTGGTGACTCTGTCACCAGGGCACGGTAGGCTGTAAGTGGTAGATATGGCTTTGGCAACCTCATGAAAGAGTCGTAGATCCGGCACTTCGTTTTTCAAGGTGAGGAGCCAGGCAATACGATACCATGGTCCAACGCCAAAATCGCATGCAATTGCTTGAGCCGAGGGGCGAAGCATCGGCTGGAATGGCTTTCGGTATTCGGTTTTGGCAAAGATGGAACCATAACAATCAGGACAAATGTTGAACTCTGTACGAGGCAGTGTAAGCCAATCCACCAAACCTGCAACGGGGTGCTTGCGGCGGCATTCGGGGAACGTGGTCACACCTGTCGCTTCTTGATGCTCCGAGTGACGCCTAACAGACCCCACTGGTTTCTCAAGGCGAACGCCATCTCGATTAGGGTCGAATGTTGGAGGTTGCCATGACTGCGAAGAAGCTGGAGAGCGAGTGGAAGATGAAATAGCTGATGCTGGCCTGGCTTCAAGTGGTATTTCAGGGCCAATGGCAATAGGCGTTGGCATCTCGGGCATTGATATGATTGGGTCTGGTTCGTATTGGGATCGTGGCCTACCAATCCTTTCAGACTTGCTGCGGGTATCGAAGGGGTCGATCAAAGTATCCTCGTCCATGGGATATGGAAGCTCATTTTTAGGCCTCTCTGGAAGAACATGCTCATCTCGAGCAACTGGAAAGGTTGACGCAGGTCGTAAGTTTTGAGTAAAATCATCCGAGACTGCCGAACCCGTAGGGATAACGACTGGAATAGGCATCGTAGGTCCTCGTGGTCTCAATCGGGGACCACTTGGTGCATCAACCTTTTCCAGCTTTGGCTGGGATTCGCGTTCATCCTGCAACACGACAGACTTCTTCCGTCTTGGGTGCAATTCCCGTGGACCCTTTGGATGATCGTCACCAGAGCGATTGTCGTCGCCTCGATCATCACGACGGTCATCACGTCTTATTGTTGGTTCCCGTGTCGGCTCACGAGGAGGGTATGTCGATGATCTTCCATAATCTTCACGATCAGTCCTCCCATAGGAAGGGGATCTATCTTTCTTGGTAGTTCTTGGCAAGTAATCGCCTCGGTTAGAGGATTCAGTTCCAACTCTTTCTTTTGAAAGCGGACGAGCAGCTTGCTCATCACGATCCTTGGAAAGAGGGCGAGCTGACGCATCTCCAATCCGCTCTTTTGAAAGAGGGCGTGTCGGTTTCTCAGCCTCGACATTCGTACGCTTTGAGGTGGAAGCGGTTGAAGAAGTACGAGTGTGACCATTATCATATCGTCGCTCATTCGGGGCGCTTGATACATGCCCTGGTCGAGTAGGAGACCTACGAGAAGCACTCTGAGACTGTCCATAGTACGCTTGATCCCGTCCGCTGGCGCTACTTTTAATAACTTCAGGTGCGAGCTGGGGGTCAAGAGGAATCTTTGGGGGTCGTGCAGGGGGTAGGTCATGTCGTCCGCTGGCTGAAGGACGAGTACGGTATTTTTCGGGGAGTTGGTCGTCTCTAAATTCAGTTTCGAGTCGAGGTAGATCCTGCCGACTGCGTCTCTTTTCCAACGGTGGTCGACTACGCTCCCTGCTCGTTGTTACATCAGCCTTGAGAGTAGTATCGTATCTCCGGCTGGATCTTGTGTCTGTGTATGCGTCACCCAATGGCCGATCTTGTCGCTCGAGTCGCTCGTTCCTTTGGGCTTTCTCGAACCGGTCAGCGCGAGGAGTTTTTGTTTCGTTCCTCATTTCAGGTTCAGATCTTCGTTCAGGTTCAGCCCTTCGTTCAGGTTCAGCCCTTCTTTCAGGTTCAGGTCTCCTGCTTGGCTCATTGCGTCGGTCCTCTTCTCTTCGTCTCTCGGTCTCACGTCTCCTGTCCGACCCAACCCTCGTTTCTGCTTCACCACCTTCTGAGCCGCTTGATGATCCTGTCAGAATGACAAACCGCCGCTCAGGGTTATATTCATGAACTTCCATTATCATAGGGTTCTGTTCAATATCTCCACGGGATGGGGGCTCTTCTTCCTGATGCTTTGCGAGGCACACACCATGCTCTCGCTTGAGAGAGACTTCCTCATCTTCCACAGATGGAGGCGGTGGTCTAACTCTTGGTACTCGTGCCGGCGCGGCGGACCGTGGTCGTGGTATTAAAGGGTAGTAAGGTAGCTGATATGGTGGCTGTTGCGACGGTGGGGGTTGAGAAGAAGGACGATCATCTAACTTTGGCGACGATGGACTATTTTTCTGTGTAAGTAGTAGTTCTCTTGAAAGATTTCGGTGACCATACGGCTTCGGACTCTTGGCTCGAGAAGTTGTGAAGTAACCCGCCTGGAGGAGGTTCTGTATGTCAAACGATTCGCCCATGATGCAAGCGTCTATATGTCTGATCGGCACGAAATCAAGAAATCATGATACACTACCGAGGGAACAAGAACAGCAAATGCGACCACAGATCATAAAACGAAGGACAACCAAGTAGATCTGCTCGGATCAGGCCGCAGTTCGGGCAGTTTGCTGATGTTTGTTTTCTATTGTCGCACAGGCCTGCTGGAGACGGGAAGGTTAGGTTGTTATTGGTGCGGGCGCTCCCAAATGGTTCGCAGTCCGGGTCTATCAACCGTTGAGAAACGCTCCAAGTAAAATGTTGAAGCCGAAACTATAAGCTCAAGCCTGGTAGCCTAAACAAAAATGCAGAAAAAAGACACGATCTACTTCGTCGGTTCTAGTTTTGGTTTCAAGGCGGCGACGTCAGAAGGAACGAGAAGGTGTCGGAGATGCCTTGGGGCGCAGTCTGGGTCCAAATCGAAGTACGAAGCCAGATGACATAGCATCCATCACTTGAAGTACTTAATAATTGGCTGTCAGATCACGCAAATCGAAGTACCTCTTGGTGGGCAGCTGGGCATCTACCCTGCCACCCCTCTCCAATACCCCCGCCAGGTTGCCCCTCCTACGTTTCGATTTGCACGCCATTAAAGCCACTCTAAAAATCACCGATTTGCTCAAGGGTAACGTATCACCACAAGATGGATCATGGCTAGGGGAGGAAAGAAAACACAGGACCTCGATCCTAAATAATAAAAAGACTTAGGGTAATATAGCCTAAGTTTATCTTGACACCCTACTGTAAGGTTCGCTGTTTTCTTGCCCCTTGAGGCATGGATATGATGTCTCGGTAACCGGACAGAGAACTTCATGCAGCATCGAACGGTTGTACATAGTAATACAGCAGGCGGATCTTCACATGCCATCAGATTAGGTACTTCAAATAACCTCCAGGACAATCACTTCTGTTTATTCGCTCTCTAACACTGGAAGGATTGCCAGTCATATCGATAGATACTAATGCCTTTCGTCTATTCGAGGGGGAGAATCGCGGCTATACTAAGGGCCAACGCCTATGCCCAGCACTTACATAGTGTTCTCATGCCTTGTAGGGCTATCAAAATCTGGTATAAGGCAGCCTGCTCTAAGTGCCTGATAATCACGGGTGCTTGTACATAATGCTGTCGCTAGTTGCAGGTGCCATAAATACCTGTAAATCTACATGTAAAAACAATTTATCATTGCATTCCTCGTCTTAGATTGTCGACTCTGTCTTAATGTTTTCTCACATGTGTGGTTCCAGCGCTGCAATGCTTAACTACTTGACCCGTGAGCCTGTTCCCCGGTCAACGTGAACCACATTCGCTTGGAACCTCTGGTTGTATTCTAGGTATAGTTTATCGAATAAGCATGGTCATTCTACTCCGTACGTTAACTCAATAATCTTTATGGTCCCAAACAACGGCGAGACTATACATGTGTGATAATATTATGCTTCAGACTGCTTCATTCTTCCGCTTTCTCAGATTATCAGTATGGTCTGGTGGGATTCATTCTGATCAAAAGAATCAGCCTCACTGGGAAACCTGCGTTTTACGAGAAACCGAAGTGGAGGTGTCCAAGTTTTCAATCAAGTCAGTGGCCAGTCTAGGAGACGTGCTTGCAACCCACGATATGACCCTCTTGTCACTTTCAATCAGCCAAATCAGAAACTCCCCAACAATGCGCCCAAAGAAGCCCAGATGACCAGAGTCTAGTCCTCTAGAAGATCAGCGATATCCTTATCTTCCTCCTCTTCCTCCCTCCTTCGTTCCTCAGCTTCGAGAAGATCCTTCAGCATAGTCCTCTGCCTCACTCTAGCCTTCTGGCCCCAATCGGCACCAGTACCATCGCCCTCCTCGTCAATCTCAGGCTCATCCTCAACTAGACCACGTAGCTCATTGGGAGAAATTTGTGCCTTGCGCTTTTCGCGGGCATCATCATCCTCCATCTTTTGGACAGCCCCTTTAGTAACGAACTTGAGGAACAAGGGGCGCAGCAGCATATAGCCACCGACAATGACGGTGAGACGGAGCCATGCTTTTGTGTCCATGCTGTCGAAGGCGTTTGAAATGTTGTTGGATGCATTTGCTCCATACTGCAGGAACTGAGCAGTGAGTTTTCCAAAGGCATTGAGTTCAGGCTGCTCGCCCTGGTGTTGCCGTTGTTGACCAACAGGATCCATTTTAAGCGTTTCCAGGTACTTTGAAATGGGCTATGGGTTTGTGAATGAACCTGCTCTACTAGGATGTTGCTGTGGTCGCTGTTGAGGGTCTGAAGAGACAGTCGCGTTTAAAGCAGGTGAGTTTAATGAAGATATCCAGGTGTTGTAGTTTAAAGCGACGGGAATAATGGTGCCAGAATAGTATAAGGAGTAATGCTTGATTCAGTGAGGAGGGAAAGATGTCGAAGCTTGTGAGTTGAGGTGCTGCGGTTGAGATTTTTATATGGCGCGCGACTTGGGAGGTTCCTTTTAGTTGGCCTTCTCCGACGGACCCGTCTCACTGGTCAAATTCTGGAACCCGCAAATAAGATGAGGGTACAGGATACTTCCATGGCATTATGCTATTGTTGAATGTATATGATTGGCAGTGCTTCGCGAATTGCTTTGATGAAGAAGCATCCTAATCACTCAAGATATGCTACAGTAATTCAATTCCTACTGATCCTGAGACTTATTTAAAAACGCCCGGAGGGCATTGACGGATAGTAGGCTAAGTACACTACTTATATACCTAATCCAGAGTCGTCGAGACATTGTATTAGTAGGAATCTGACCTGAAGGGTACCATTGCCGCCAATACAACAGTGTAACTCAGACGCCTTTGAAACTATAAAGCTCTATAGCTTCTCTTAAAAAAACAAAACATCCATACCTTGTATTTTGGTAGTAAATAGGTCATAAGTACAGGAACTTGACGGAACATCAGCTTCATCAACTCCACGTGATCTACCTTTTTATTTCCTTGTGGTCTGAGTGGGTGTAAAACTGGCGGGTTGGCTCCACCAGATATCCATTACCGAACAGAGACCTTTAGAGCGAGACAAGAGGCCTGACTTGATAGCTCGAGAAAATTTCGAGGCCTCATTATAGCCGTGTCCCATCTCCATCTCCGTCTCTATCGTGCACCCCGACAGCACCATCGTGTGTTTCTCGCTTCTGTTCCCCTTTCCCTCCGCTCTAGTCTCGTTTTTAATTGTCATTTATACTATCTAGAGGGAGCCGTTACAATGTCGACCGCTTTCCGATCCCTTGCGCCTTTCCTGCGCACCGCCCGACAAGGTCTACGGGCTAACCCCGTCAACCCTCTTCAGTCCGCCTTCAGCAAGCAGAACACATCCGGTGTCCTCAACCTCTACCGCACATATGCTGTTTTTGAGCGATCAAAGCCTCATGTGAACATCGGTACAATTGGTCACGTCGATCACGGCAAGGTATGACTGCGTCCTCTAGAATCTACAACCCCTCCACTCTCTTTCTTTCTCAAACCCCAGCTGACTCTTCATCATAGACCACTCTTTCTGCTGCCATCACAAAGCGACAGGCCGACAAGGGCCTCGCCAACTTCCTTGAATATGGTGCCATTGACAAGGCTCCTGAGGAGCGAAAGCGTGGTATTACCATCTCGACCGCACACATCGAGTACGCCACCGACAACCGCCACTACTCCCACGTCGATTGCCCTGGTCACGCCGATTACATCAAGAACATGATTACTGGTGCAGCCAACATGGACGGTGCTATCATCGTAGTTGCTGCCTCCGATGGACAGATGCCCCAGACCCGTGAACACTTGCTCCTCGCTCGTCAGGTTGGTGTTCAGCGAATTGTCGTCTTTGTCAACAAGGTCGATGCCATTGATGACCCCGAGATGCTTGAGCTCGTCGAGATGGAGATGCGCGAGCTTCTTAACACCTATGGCTTCGAAGGCGACGACACTCCCGTCATCATGGGCTCGGCTCTCATGTCTCTCCAGAACCAGCGCCCTGAGATTGGCACCGAGAAGATTGATGAGCTTCTTGCTGCCGTCGACGAGTGGATCCCAACCCCCGAGCGTGACCTTGACAAGCCCTTCCTTATGTCCGTCGAGGATGTCTTCTCCATTGCTGGCCGTGGTACCGTCGTGTCTGGCCGTGTGGAGCGTGGTGTTCTGAAGCGTGACCAGGAGATCGAGCTTGTTGGAAAGGGTCAGGAGGTTATCAAGACCAAGGTTACCGACATCGAGACCTTCAAGAAGTCTTGTGAGCAGTCCCAGGCTGGTGACAACTCTGGTCTCCTCATCCGAGGTGTTCGCCGTGAGGATGTCCGCCGTGGTATGGTCGTCTGCGCTCCTGGCACCGTGAAGTCTCACACCCAGTTCCTCGCTTCCCTCTATGTCCTCTCCAAGGAGGAGGGTGGCCGACACACCGGTTTCCAGGAGCACTACCGACCCCAGCTCTACCTCCGAACCGCAGATGAGTCCATTGACCTGACTTTCCCTGAGGGTACTGAGGATGCCTCCAGCAAGATGGTCATGCCTGGCGACAACACCGAGATGGTTGTCACCATGGGTCACCCCAATGCCATCGAGGTTGGTCAGCGATTCAACATCCGTGAGGGTGGTCGAACTGTCGCTACTGGTCTCTGCACTCGCATCCTCAAATAAGCGGCGCTTTAGACAAGAAATGAAAAGGTTAACGGGGGCGGTGTACGAATTATCACGCTTATGTACAATCATGCAATGTCTTTCTTTGAGTCCATTTTGGCTCCTGTATATTTATTTAGCTGGCCTTGGGGCTCAAAGATCTCCGCTCTGCTTCCTCCCACCTTCTTGGTGATCCGAATTAGATAAAATCTAGGGGAGGCAGTAATAAGACTTATAAACTAAAAAAATTTGTTTCGCCTCAAATCATTTGTCCATTGTGGTAGTATGATGGTCATTGTGGCCGTGACACGTAACGATGACTGGATCAACTTTAGATGAGCACAGCAGGGTCTTCAAGGATGCGCGAGGGCCAGCACTTGGAGTTTTTCTTTAGGATTGTCATTAATCACATTGACCCGATGCACTCTATAGCCATAGGCTGGTCATGCGCAAAAGTTGGAGGATAAGACAGGACACAGAGACATGATCGAGGTCCGATGCAATGGTATTCGTCTATCCTCGGAGGATTTTCGTCAAACGCACGATCTTCCTGAGGGACCCAAGCAAGCCATAAAACTCCTGTTCCAAGCGGCCGCCCTCCGAGTGCTCTTTTTTGTTACCGCGAGGCCTTTGACGTTCTGCTGAGAGTTTCCCCCCATCCACACAATACTTTGCTCTCTAGCAGTCCCCCCCATCCCTTAAACGAGAAAACCGGGTGTCATGATCGTTTATCGGTACTGCAGGCAATCCTGAGTCAGTTTCGTTGTTCCCACTACTTCACTGGGCGTCGCCCTGGGTGTTGGGGCACATAAGTGATTCCGCTCGATTAAAACTCACCTTGTTGAAGCCGATATCCTTGGCCTTCTCACGGAAGCACTGACGGCACAGGTTGAGGTCGTACTTTCGGATGAGACCAGCCTTGTGCTTGCAGACGCGGCTACGAGATGTTAGCATCAATTGTTTTCGGTCGATGATTTCGACGCCATCGGGCGCATGGAATTTCGGGCAAAGGATATATATATTCGTACCAGCTGCGAGAGCCCTTGCCGTAGTTTCGGGGTCGGGAGTTCCAGACGCTTTCGTGAGACATCGTTGCGGTGATGATTGAAGGCCGAAAGCTCGAAGGGTTGCGGGATGGTTTGATTTCGCGAGTTGGTTGCCGCTGGAAATTTTACACTTGACTTGTGTGCACCTACTAGGTCCGCAGCCCCAGTTCGGGTAGGAGGGCACATCGGACTCCGGACTATCAATGACCCGGGACAGTACATGGACCCGCTCACCTCCCCAACTGACACGGAGCTGTCCAACAAGGTTACCCTGATATCCACTGAAGACCAAACGAACATGAGTGTCTGGGGCTGTTTGCACCATTAGGTTAAGCTCGATTTCGGCATGAGCTTGAATATACCATTCCTGAATTTTCTGTGTATAATTGTGAGGGCAGTATCATGTTGCTGCTGGGGTGGTCACTCTTTTCTTACATGGCGGGATTGTCAAAGATCGCGAGCTGCCTTCTGCTAGCGAGTTGCTCTCAAGGAATATCCACCAAGATTGTACTTCGTTTGACCGCCTATATGCACAATGCTTCTGATGTGAATCTATGCAAAGATCCAGGTAGTAGCCAAGCATATTCTCAAATTTCTTTAGAAAATCCAACTTAGAAGCTGGGGTTGAAGCTAAAAGAGCCTCGGTGGGGTCAATTGTAAGAACCGCAGCACTCTTATCGTGAATATGGTAGTTCAAGAAGCTCTAAGTTTAGATGCCTATCGACGTCCTGTTTATATGGAGAAGTTAGATAGGCTTTGTTTGTCTGTTACGCAGGCTCCGAATCGCCAAGTCTCGTTCACCTGGCTGCATCATTGAATTTATACCATAGTTGTGCTTAGATTCTCATGAACACACAGCATATAGGCCATTGAGTAGCCCACACCTGAGGTTAAGGCTATTAATTTCTGCAAATAGTTGATTCGAAGGATACTATCCGATATGATGAGTTTGAGAGGTCCAAAGAGAACTTTAATGTAGGACACTTCATCGAAAAGGCTGTAATCCAAACTATGTGCTGTTGTAGGTACGGTAGCTGACCAATACAGCTCCAGCTCACCTCAAGGTAGCTTTAGGTCCCGCTTTAACCTACAGGGATATCCACCTACACCGGACATTCCTATGCAAGCTGGCATCTCTGGTGGATTTCCAAGCAACCCTCCAGAAACAAGCACCTCTCTGATTGCAGACAGTGCATTGCTTCATTTTGCTTTTCTTTTCTCTTCTTTACTTCTCTTATATCCAAAGTAAAACGAATCGAGTTCATCATAAGAAATGGTTCTTATCAAGAGCTTCGTGCTGAGCGCCCTTGCCGCTACAGCCGCAGCCAAATCCGCCGTCATCGAATTACTTCCCTCTAATTTTGACGATATCGTTCTCAAGTCCGGCAAACCTACGCTCGTCGAGTTCTTCGCTCCGTGGTGTGGACACTGCAAGACGCTTGCTCCCGTTTGGGAGGACCTAGCCAATACCTACGAGTACGCAAAGGACAAGGTCCAAATCGCCAAAGTCGACGCTGATGCTCAGCGTGAGCTTGGCAAGCGATTTGGTATCCAGGGTTTTCCTACCCTCAAGTTCTTCGATGGAAAGAGCAGCAAGCCTCAGGATTACAAGTCTGGCCGCGACCTTGAGAGTCTGACCAATTTCATCGTTGAAAAGACTGGTGTAAAACCCAAGAAGAAGCTTGAGCTGCCCAGCGAGGTTACCTACCTCAACGATGCGACATTTCCCAAGGCCATTGGTGGCGACAAGCATGTTCTCGTCGCTTTTACCGCTCCGTGGTGCGGACGTTAGTGTTCCCTGCGCCACTCTTTCGTTCAATCTCACTAATCTTGACATATTGCAGACTGCAAGAGCCTTGCCCCTACCTGGGAAGACCTCGCCAACACATTCGTAAACGAGAAGAATGTCCTGATCGCCAAAGTTGATGCCGAAGCCCCCAACAGCAAGGCAGTGGCTGAGGAGCAAGGTGTTAAGTCCTACCCAACCATTAAGTGGTTCCCTGCTGGCAGCAAGAAGGCTGTAGCCTACGAAAGTGGACGCAGTGAGCAAGCCTTTGTTGACTGGATCAACGAGCATGCCGGAACTCACCGAGTCACCGGTGGTGGTCTTGATACCGTTGCTGGTACCGTTGAGTCTCTTGACACGCTCGTGGCCAAGATCACAGGCGGTGCTGCCATCGCCGACGTCGCCGAGGAGGTCAAGAAGGAGGTTGAGACCCTCACCGATTCTGCTCAGAAAACATACGCCGAGTACTACGTGCGCGTCTTTGACAAGCTGAGCTCGAACAATGACTGGGTGTCGAAGGAGCTCGCTCGTTTGGACGGCATCCTTACTAAGGGTGGACTGGCCCCCACCAAGCGTGACCAGATTCAGCAGAAGACCAACGTTCTTCGCAAGTTTACCCAGAAGGTCGAGGAGAAGGCCGAAGAGATCAAGGATGAACTGTAAAGGACCATTATATGATAAATGAGAGCGGGGAGGAAGTCACGAATCAAAGGGTTTTATGTATTTGGATCTTAGTCGACTAGACTCGACATGATAAAATCGTAACGAGACATATTAGCACTTCTATTTGCATGTGATGAATCGAAACAACCAAGAGAAAGCCCAAACACTGTGTATCTCTTATTGAACTCAAATTTCACGAGGACTTTGTTGATCCTCCATCTTTCGCCTTGCTCTCTTGAAGAGCTGCTTCGAGATTATCCAGCCTCCGAGACATCTCATCCACTTCACACCATGTTAGCGGGATGGTGCGGAACAGGAGCCCTTAGATACTCACTTTTCGCAAAGATTTCTGACGAGACACCAGCAAATTTGTTAGACAGAGAGTTTAGAAGCTCCTCAACAGCGGCTGTGACATCGGCGCGAGCATCATCTGAAGGCTTTGACAAAGAACGAGTCAGCGGTGCTGTTGAAACCATTCATGAAGGCCTTGCCGCCCAACTTAAGCGTTCTCAGTGCGATATTACACAGAATGAGTCCAGATGTGGTTGCTTGAATCGCGGAAGAATAAAACATACATTTTCAGTCTTGCTGTTGACTGTTGGATCCGGTTGCGGCTCGTTACTAGCCATCATGATATTGGGATAGGAGGACGAAAGGACGGTGTATCGAATGAACAAAACTGAAGAAGAAAGAGTCTAATAGAGAGATACTGAGGTGCTCAAAGTAGATTCTGAGATGCAATGTTTGTCTTATGAGCGTGTATATGTGCGTTGGTAGTTGTGTCTGGCGGTACCTGGTTTTGTTTGACGCTGCTGAACTGCCCCTTATTCATACTGTGCCGGAAAATAGACGGATACGGCATTTCTTTTTAGCACCACCTCATCAGCTACAACCACCGAGTTGCGATACGTACCACTTCCATGAACGCCAGGTCTCATAAACTCAAACAATATCTCATGAGGAGAGGCTGACCAGCCACCAAGTATCAGCCACCGCATACATCTACGAACCTATTTCCTCACCACACTCAAATCCTCAGTCATTACCATCTTCACCACGTCGTCTTGGACCGACGACTAAACCAAATTTAAGCATGATACAGTGATAGTCGCTCGCTATCGTGGGTCATCCATCCATCATGCCTCAAGCCCAACATCCAATCGCTACACTTATATTTATTGTTTTCATTATTTGGCTCGTCTTTCCCGATAGTGACTACTCAAGTCAGTCTCTGACTCTTTCCGATCTCGCTGGCGAGAGACTTGATCATTTTCAGGATGCTCTGGACGTGTTGAATGCTTCGCGATGGGGCGATTTCGCACCGGTCCTGGGGGAGGACTCCAAGGCGAAGCCATCTTTTTTAAACCTTACGGGTTTTCGTGCGGATGACAACCTCTCCTGGGGCGGGTTGAAAAGATTCCGCGAGCGGAGTTTGGCCTTCAGCCGACATGCCATACCACCTGTTGGACAACATAATCTGTGGGACACTGGACATGGTGAGCCTATATGGTTGAACGCATCAGGGACTGTTCATGGAGAATGGGTCAAGCCAAAAGCCTCTATCTCTAGAGGATATAACAGCTACAATCTGAGCAAAATTGCTCCTGATATGGACTGGATTGGTGATAATGTGCCTTGGGCGCGTAACATCACTGGTCGCACTGGTCGCATGATGCTGCGCCTAGAAGGGAACCAAACTATCAACGAGTATGAGCAATTGCCAACTGAAAGTAGCGTCCCCGTCGCCGGAGGTCTCATACGGAGTGTCAAGGGCACGACGACTATTGAGGATACCCATGGCTCTGGTCATGACTGGGAAATGAGGCTATGGGGTGTTCATTGGCCACGTCAAGGTGTGGTTTTGATGACCACCACCAGCGAGAAGTTCGAGGGCATATTCGGCTTGCCGCACCTTACACCAAGTGAGGATTTCTTCCAGTCTAGTCAGAGGCTACTTAACGAGTCGATTGCCCACACCATTGCGACAAAGAGGGAGAACATATATGCAGATCAGACTGTACCATGGACTTCAGATCTGGAAAATCCTCTATACACTACTAATCCATCGCCACATTGCGAATATGTTATGTATGCGCAAGTCTTTCCACCAAGTCGGACCCATTTCAACATAGATTCCCAGGAATCATCGAGGGGCGCTTTAGAGGCTGTTATCGATGCTATTGAGTCGGAGTTACAATCACCTGTTGGCGCACCCATCCCGAAGATACCCAAACTCCAAATGTCAGCTATCATCTACTCTCCAGACTGCGGCTTCTTCCTAGAGACCAAAGGACCTCCGGATTTTGGCCCAAGCGAGGCCCAGCACTTAACAGGCATGAAGATAGAGGTTCAACTATATCAGGTCAAAACATGGATTCTTGTCTACGCAATCGTTGTATTTGGTCAGGTCAATCTCCTCAAGAACCAGATGCGTGAGTCCTGCACCCCGTCGACCATGGGTCGAGTGAGTTTTTGGACTATCGCCATGATGCTCATGGTTGACGGCATGACCTTCACTGCTGCTGCAACTTGGGTATCATCTGCTGGCGCCACCTTTCTGCCGACATTGGCCCTCTTGTTTGCCGCATTCCTGTCCATGACCATTGGTGGAAGCTTTCTCGCCAAAGTCCATGAAGTTCAGCTCCCTGAAGCCCGGCCTCGACGTGAGCGGGAAGCAAACAGCATGGGTGATAACACCAATGGCACCGAACTACCCGCTGCGACGACTTCAGACAGATCACTCTTGCCGGAGCCTGTGACAGCACACCAACTGGCCATGCCTCCCCCGCCTCGATCTCAGCAACAGCCTGTGATTGTTCCCTCCGATCAAGATGTTGATGCCGAGATTGCTGCTGCTGCTGCTGCAGTCCCTAGCGCCACAACTGCGCAACGTGCTGAGGAAGCCCCCCAATCCTTCCAGAGCATCATCGGCCGCATGATTCTCTCCTCCCTGTGTATTATATTCCTGGCCATTTCTTCTACAACATGGTATCCCAATCTGAGGTCATTGTTCCTGAACCTGTGTGTCCTCGTCTATCTATCCCTCTGGATCCCTCAAATTCTCCGTAATACTCGTCGAAACTGCCGGCGAGCTCTCGGCTGGCCATTCGTCGTTGGCCAGTCCATCTTACGACTCCTCCCCGTAGCTTATTTCTGGATCAAAGAAGACAATTTTCTTTATGCTCGCTCGGATCGGCATGCCTTCCTTGTCTTTTGCGCCTGGCTTTGGATACAGCTTATCATTCTTGCCGCACAAGACATTATCGGTCCCCGCTTTGGCATTCCCGCTGGCTGGGCCCCTGATGCTTGGGACTACCACCCTGTCCTTCGCGAGGATAGTCTCGAAGCTGGTGGTTTGCCAATTGGCCTGGTTGCTGACGACACACCTGGTATCGAGCGTGCCCGATCATCAGGTGATGATGGCAGTAAGAAGCAAAGCACGACGAGGAGTATCGACTGCGCAATCTGTCGTGAGGTCTTGGAGGTGCCCGTGCTCACAGCCGAAGACGAAGACACCGGCGTTGCTGGCGTCTTCGCTCGTCGTTTATATATGGTTACACCTTGCAGGCATATATTTCATAGTGCTTGCTTGGAAGGTTGGATGCGATTTCGACTTCAGTGTCCCATATGTCGAGAGGAGTTACCACCCTTGTAACGCCGGTAGAAGATGGACATTCGCACTTTACACATGGGTGGCACTGTTGAGCAATAGCGCGAATTTGAGATGTTTAGAACCCAAAATGGCATACATGATAGACGCTGTATGTACTATTAAAGTCTGTCTCCCAAGAGAGTTTTTGTTGCATTGATAACGCAACATAGATATGGTAGTTCAACACATTTCCCAACCTCCTTGAACTCCGAGTCCGAAACACCACCTCCTTGAAAGATCATGTCCATATACACGGCTGGTGAACTATCTATACAACACGAATATGAGCGCCAATACGCCTCTGGCCTCGCTACCAGTTCAGCCGAGTTTGACGAAATTTAGAATCAGGAATACCAGGTGGCAGACCGCGAGTGCCAACTTGAAGGTCCGCAACTCGAGTTCGAAGGTCGAAGTCAACAGAGCGAATTGTGAAGCGCTTTTCTTCGGGGACTATTCGTGGTATGGGCCTCGTGATGCCGTCGACATGATATGACTCGACCCCCATAGACAGCGCTTCTGACTCCTCAAGATTCATGACCCATGCACTAATATTTGCAACCATCTCGCTATCCCACATGCCCTCACGGCGGGAACTGCTGCGTAGAAGCTGAATAGCTCGGCGCCTTGTTCCTGGATCGCGGCATTTGGTTGCTACGACAAATAGAGGAGCAACAATTCCTATGTCAGCTGCGAATCTGGGCTTGAGATGCGGAGCTGAGAATCCCATGGCCGGGAACAATTCCTGGCTTTGCCAATTTTCGCGTTGGCGATGTTGGCAGTGCTCAGGATCAGGGCAATCACGGGATGCGGCTCGCCTCTCTTCGTCACCAACTATTTCGGTACCAAGATCAACAATTGTCTGAAACTGAGGAAGAAAGTTGTCGAAGTCAGACTCTTTGTCACTGAACATCATGAGATACAGGATTCTTGAATTCGTGGACAGCATTTTCAGTGCAGCAATGCCTGCTTTCTCCTGAAGGCTGACAGAAGGATTGTGCCGTGTGAAAAATAGGTTGTCGAACGCTTTTCCCCAAGCGTCTAGGTAGTCCTTGAAATGAAGACCATAGTCAAGCCACGATTGGGGTAGGGTACTCTTGAGGTCGGTCTTCATGGCGAAAAGCTCCTCGATGTATCTCATAATTCTAGCGTTTAACGCATCACAGGCCACTCGAGCTTGGACAACAGATGTAAAGGTTTCAGGGATCGAGAAGGGCTCTTCTTGCGAAGGGGTATTTGTGCCACTCGGACCAGGAGATTGTGTTTGCGATTGTGAGCTGAGCCTTATACTGAACGGCTGGGGGAAGTGGAATGCCATATCGTAGGACTTTGCTTGAATCGCCAAGCGAGTAAAAATGACAACCAATTCCTCCTCCAGCGAATTCTCGGAAACTGGAAGGAGTCTTTGTCTTTGTTGAGTGCGGAAGATGTCGAGCAGGCCAAGTCCCGTCTGGATCTGGTGAATGGCCTGCCTGTGATCACCAATAAAGGAATCAAAGCAGGCCAGAAGCACGTTCGCCATGATTGAGGTCCTGTGCGATCTCTGGTCTTGAGTGTTTAGTTTCACCAAAGCATTGCATGCATCACCATATCTCCTGATGGCAACTTGCCAATGACCCCTGACAAGCTCGGCACGCGCGTCACCACCCATCTCCGATCCACTGTGCATATTCAGAACAGCTGTCTGCTCGAGAGTCTGATACAGAGCACCCAGTGCAATAACAGCACATTTGATGGCATCTTCAGAGTGGCACGCCTGCAATACATAGTGCGTCCAGAAGAGGTTGTTGAAGAAGCCAGAAAGCTCGTTAGCAGTGTGTGAGCGGAATATGTCAAGGTAGAAGGATTCATTTGGTTGTATCTGCATAACGGAGGATGGATGGTAAGTAGTAGGTGACGGTGAAGTAGTCCCTGGGGATGTAGTCCTCAAATTTGATCTTTGATGGGCCCGACGTGGCAGCAGATGGTAGTCGCCGTGGAGAGGAGCAATGGGAGTGCTTAAAGATGCTTGGGCATCGTATGCTGGCATCGGCTTTGGAGCGATCCGAATCTCCTCGAACGGACGGGAACTGCGACTAGGGGGTGGGTAGCCTGTGCAGGTTTTGTTGCTTCGAACGCATTGCGTACAAGCTGGACGAGCCTCGTCGCATTTGATTCGCCTTTGTCTATAATGCCACAAAGGTGAGATTTTGGCTACCATTACACCCGAACACGGCCAAGGTTGAGAAATAGGGGATAAGGATTGGGGAGACGAACTTGCAATTGGCACATCCTGTCTTGACTTTTGGCTTACTTGTCCGGACACGCTTTGCTTTAGCTGGAGGGGCTGCTGATGGTGCAACAAGGTCGGAGGAAGCTGAGGTAGTCGAAGCGACTGAAGTGGTTTTAGTTGAAGTGCTGGCAGCAGAGACAGATGGGCTTCTGGTGGTAGCGATGCGTTCAGTATTGCCGGCACCTGTAATGGGAGTAGCCGGAGTACTCGTTGAAGCAGGAGAGACGTTGCTGCTGCTGTAAGAGCTCTCCGTATAGGGAATATCGATGCTATTGAAAGTGTTGACGCTGGCAGGGTGGGGAATAGAAGACGGATGAGTGGTCAGATCAGTTATTGGGAAGATCGTAGCCGTCGATGTTGAGACAGATTGCACCTGTGCTTGTGATTCTGTTGTTGGTGTTGCTGCTGCCGCATGGTTCATATTTGTAAAGGATACATGCGAGTGTGCTTGCCCTTGTGCATGTGCATGTGCTTGTGTTTGTGCTCTTCCCCCCGCTCTCTCGGAATGAGACGATGAGGATTCCTCTCTAACCCAACTCTGAGCCATAAGTACACCTAGACAGTAAAGGTTCCTCGGCAACCCAGCAAGTAAGTAGTGATACCTTGAGGTATCGTTTCACCTCGCGGTAGCTCTACAACCACACGTCTTCTATCGAACCGTTTCTCGGCCGAGAAAACGGGGGAGGGTGGAGGGAAAGGGTAATTTTAGCGGTAGTCAACAATCAAAGTTTCTGCAAGAAAAAGGTGGCAGAGGACTAGAAGCAGCCGGGGTAATAAAAGGATTTGGGAGGGACTAGTAGCAAAGAGTGGACAAGCAAGCAAAAGAAACTAAAGTAAGGCAAGTAAGGCAAGTCGTCACAGAGATGAGCACCGGGCTAAGTCGATACGCATGGAAACGCATGAGGGCAGCCCAACAGTGGCGGATAGTGAGTGTCAGCCCCGGTTCTCGGGCGCAATGAGGTCTTTCTATAGCTCATCACTTTTCCATAAATGCTATTGTGATCCCAGGGGCAGATCAAGCATTCATTAACAGGCATAGATGGGGCTCATACCGATATCACCGCCACTCCTAGCCAGGAGAAGGGAAAAGAGGCTGAGGCCATCGGTTTCACTTCCGGGGATAGAGACAAAGGGCCTGGGGCCATGTGCTCGAGAGCAGATCCATGGGAGTCTGGCGGAGCATTGGATGGGACAAGAAGTCCAGGGTTCCCTCGTGAGACAAAAGACACTGACTGACTGACTGACTGCACGAGTCGAAACAGAGACGGGCTACGGATCGCCGGTGGGTTTATTCTAGGCATTACCCATATTATCATCTGCTCTGGTACGGCGGGCTCTGCCAAACTAGGAGTAGCACGCTCTGTGTAACCATCGCTAAGATCAAGCCGTTGCAGGACAGGCGAGACAGCCGCTGCAAAACGCATTGTTGAGGACATGGAGGTACCACTGTGAGTGACTAGACTACTTGTGTAGAGAGAGGTGCGGGTATTGTTTTCCAAGGCATTGCCACAGGCGCCAGGGTGTTGGAGAGAGGTAATGTACCGAAGTGCACATAAGTGGTGCTTATGGGAGTTTTGACCATTTCCAGTTGAGAATCCGTGATAGTGAGTGGATTGGGTGGTGAAGATCCATGGACGGAACTTGTGGTGGTGGTACATCGACATACTCCCCGAGATGAGTGCGACATTGAGAGAGGGTGAGTACATAGTTAGACTATGAACATGCAGCCGCGAGTCCTGTTAGTTTGTGCCTGTGCCTGTCTCCTTTGAGCAACTCCAGGACATGGATAGCTGATTAGACTTGGCCTATGGGACGACCGGGGGCAGGCCCGGGCCCGTCCCATCATGAGCCTCGGGCCCTCCCCTCCCCAGCGCCGCTCTAGTGCATGCTTTTGGCGCCCCAGAGCTTGCTTCTTCGTTGGAACGAGACTTGTTCGCCCAATAGGGATTTGACATTTGACAGGGGGGCGCTTGTGCGTTCCTGTTGTTGGTCGCACAAGGATAGCTAAGCCGTCCTAAGATGGATTGACGCTCTGTACTCTGCAGTTGCAGGGCTGTTAGGGGCGCACTTAGCGCGGTGGCGGTGGGGGACAAGGGCATCTGACATTTTGTTTCTTTCCCATGTCCATCATGGGTGTTCCTTGATCGAGCAAGCATTCATGTTGGCGTTGATACTGATGTGATCCTCCCAGCTGTGTGTGTTTGGGGGCCCAGCGAGTTGGGTCAGCGCTGTAGCACTAGGGAAGATGTTTGATCTTGGCATCACAACATGTAATATCTCCGATGCATGTCCGCTGTGGGCACGATACAAAGACTCCCTGAACTCCTTTTCAGACAGTGCCTCCTGTACTCCAAGGTCTCCAGCTTATTGCCGGCCTCTTTCCGTTGAACCCGTTCAACAGCCCGTGAGGTGGCTGACTTGGCCGATGTTTAGTGGGGTTCCCAGGCTTGGCCGCTCGCTGGCAAGTGATTTTCATGTAGACTATGGGATTTATAGCACATTGGTTCTGCGAGAGGAAAAAGCAAAAATGACAGCACAGCAAAGTACAGTTCTGCAATTCGAGAACATGTTTCACTTTCTCGTTATCGTTGGTGGAGCTCCTTGTCATCAGCCACCGACTGTTTCTGGGTGCCCTAGGTAGCCTAGGTGCCCTCTCCCTCTCTAGATCTCTAGCCTCTACACATGGACAACCCGACTCTTAGATACCCCTCCACATCGGGAACGTTCTAAGACAAGAAACGTTTATGGATACGTAAGGGAATTACGGATACAGATAGTGATACTGATTGATGGATGCTTTCAGAATGGGTGCCAGCCTGTCTCAGTTCTTAAGGTATCTGCATACCAATCTGGTATGGCGCTTAGGAGCCTTCATAACAATACTCCAGCTTGTACTATTGTGTACTCGTCTAATCTCGAGAATCTAGATCTCGATAGCCTCTCCTTCGGGTTGGTACCCCATATCATCAGGCTGGGCTACGTACCCTTTTGGTCTGCAAAATACACCCGCTGTGCAGTATGAGATTTTCAGCCATTACTTGGGAGGGGACTTTCTTGGCTATCCCATCATGCGGCGTAGTTGAAGACTAGACTGTCTCATCGTCCGTATTAGTCTGAGATCCCTTGCAGCGCTTGCACTGATTGTTGAGTATTCGTAAATCTCACTACCGTGGCCAATAGCTACCGCCGGAGGTTCAGCGTCTCATTATGTACAGGCGTCTTGCAATTGCAACACATACCCCGTACTCCGTACTGTATCCAGCCAGGCGGGCGGCAACTTCCGCTGAAGGTATCAGTGCTTTTAGACTACTCCGTAATTAGTCGACAATGCTAAATTCTGCCAAGAGATAAACCTAGCTCTCTTGGGCTTCCCTAGGGGGGAAATAAAACACGAGACTGGATTTGGTGGTAGATCGGTGGATTTTGGTGTAAGCCAGTCTCATGTAATTTTCCCCCCCGAGGCTCCCCTAGGAGAAACTTCCCGGTGGGACGGTACAATTTGTCAGACACCTATCATTACTTGTCTTAATTTTAGTCTCATTTTACGAGTAATTCTGGCTTGTTGAGGCGGGGTAGAATAGGTTGAGCGATTCGATGTCGACGTTCTGAGACAGAGAGCACAGTGTTCGAGGTCGAGGATTGAGGGCTTCAGGGAAAGAGCCTGATGATGTTTTTATCGTCTTTTGGTATCAATCAATCTATTTGTTACCATCTTCAGCCTTATGGGATCATTAAGATGTCGCAACACTCTCAGCCAACATGCTTTACGGCACGGGGCCCGGTCCGTTGACCTAGGCTAGGTTGTCCTCATGGAACAGCAACATTGCAACCCATTTCTGCCGGTATGGCCTTGCCCTGTGCCTGTCCATGAGCATCAGCCCATACCCATGCTAGTCATGGTTCCTAATTGTGCCCCTGATACTCGGCTCGGCTCTCCACACCGGGCACGTCGACCGCACAGTAGCTCGTGAAGATCACATTTCGGCCACATTGGCCGCCGACGGCGTCTCCCGGTGCCAGGCTTTATCTCATCCTGGCCTCTCAAGCTACTTCTCTCCAAGTCTTGCTCGTAATGGTTGTGGACAATTTTTTCTCCTATTCGAGTCAGATCTCCATGCCGGTCTCTCCATATTAACACAATTTGTTGATTGTGTTATTGGTCCGCTGATCGTTCCATTTGTATCCAACCATCAAACTGGCGTATAACGTTATCCTCCAGGGATTCTCAAACATCCCCGGAACGTAACAATATCGGACGCTCTGCTGTTTCATTTTCCCAGCCTCGTTCCCTTGTTGAGCAACTGCCAACTGCCAACTACTATTGAAAAAAATACTTTACCCAATATTAGAGGTAGTCTTGTGTCGGTAAATGACTAATCATCTCAGGTTGACAAATGAGTACGTACTTGTCCTGATATTGAAGCACCTTTGCTCTATGGAGATCCATGCATGGCATTGTCAGCTGTAACATTGGGATTGCCAAGAACCAGTCCTCCCCGGATTGGATGCTTTGCGTTGTGTTGCGTTACAGTGCGTTTCGACATTCCACAAGCCATCAGCCAGCCCTGATTACATCTCTGGCCGTGCCATCTCCCGTATGCGTCGGCTCCGAATTGGACAAACGGCCGATTGGTGGGCTAAGCAAGGGCTGTCACGGCATCTGTCACTGAAACTCATGCGGGTTGTTTTTTTGAACCACTAGGTACGGTGTACGGCGATGACAAATAGAAGCCATCTCCCTATACAATACCATTGGATGGCTCGCCAAGAGGCCCACAGGAACCTCTGTTTCCAGAAGCGCTCGTGTCAGTGAATGAGATGTTAAGACAGTTGCCTAAGTCATGCGTCAACGTCTTGGGCCCTTCGGCGGTCAATGTGGATATAACATAGCACCTGTCTGCGTGAACTCCATTCTCAGTCGAGCATGAAGACCAAGTCCAAGCTCAACTGCTGCGGCCTCCTGACTCATGTCTCGGTAACATTCTTGTTTATCTTTTCACTGCTGAGCCAACACATTTTAAAGTTCACAAATTGTATACCAACGCTGACAAGGGTTTAAATCAAGCCTGTGGACGCATAATATCAGTCACTGATACGACAACCAGCCGAGAGAACCACAGAGCATCGCCCTAGGCTAACAACGGTAGAGAATGCGAGCAAGACATTGATTCAAAATGAATCGGCAATGTAACCTCATCTGGCAGTTGAGTCCGTGACCTCGGCAGCCGGGATTACCACGCGCCTTTAATCTCATCTCAACAAAGTCTAAAATAGCTCAGAGATGTATCCGCCACGTGCATTGTACAACGGTCTGTATTCTTACGGCATAGATAGCTAGTCTATTTCAAGGTAGATTTAGTCAAAGAAAAAAAAGAAGGAAGGGGAAAAGTTGCATGGCTGTATGGAGGCGTGGCACTGACC